GTTTCGCCTTCCCACACGTGTAATGGTAAACCAAACCACCATCCCCAAATTCAATCGTTCTGAGTGGATGTTTCTCGCGCTGAAGAAGCGACCGCTCTCTGTCGAAGATGTTTTCCTCGCAGAATATAAGTTGGATCGTCAACTGTTTTGCTTCCGTCAATTCATCAAGAGGGTGGCTCATCTAATACCCCCTCCCACGAGTATTCGTTTCTTCTGTTCACTTACATTCAATTCAAATCAGACCGTAGAGCGAATTGGAAACGCGACGTTCGAATCAAGGCTTCTACATTTTCAAACGAATACGTAACGTAGATGTTAAGAAACGATCTGGTCGTGGCGAAGTTTTCCCGGAAGCTTGTGATAGTTGGGTAGAAGCAAAACCAACTATTTCATCCCCGCCCACCATGTTTACGCAGGATAAAAACGCGCTCCGACGCGCGCCGTGAACACAGGGAGTTTTAGCGCCCCAGCCATAAGGGTGGGCCATCCGTTATGCGCTTGACAGTCACGGTGACGGAAACATTGAACTTCATAACGGTTTCCTCTCTGGAAAACTTTTCTCCTTAAATAGGTTCTTATTGGCCACATCAGTCCACGGGCGGGGCACCGCGCCACTCGCGTCATGGTCACTTGTTACAAAAACCAAAAAAGTGTGCCAGCGTGATTGGCTGCCTGAAAAACAGGAAGAGAAGTGTTATGCCTTTTTTCCAACTATATCTGATGAAACATGATGTAGGCAGTTACAATTAATCCTCTACCATATACCACAACTCTATAAAAGGAAATTAACCCCCAAGAAAAATTATTGGTAAGGTGGCAAGTAGTATCCAATTCCGCAAAAAAGAAGTTGAAATCATAATTACATCAGTGTTCCGATGAAGTCTTTCGCTCAAACTAAACAGTTATAGATACGTCCCTTTCATACCACACCACTATACCAGTGCTAGAAAACTCTACAACTTCTTGCTAATACAGAATCTTTTTGCCTTTACTCGGACCATGCCGTTTAAATTGTCTCCACCAATGCCTAACATCTTTGGTTTATAGGCGCAACTTCTTTATTGAACGCTTGAAATGCGTCCTTGTTTTATAATGCATAACGTAGTCCCAATTGCTGAAGCTTTTTTTGAACGTTGTCCCTTACGATCAAATAAGGTCGTTAGTCACGTGATCATTATGATTGGACGCCTTTTTAGACCCTTCTCATCCTAATGCTACGCAAAAAATCAGAATACGGTGTCTTAAGACAAGTTAAGAGCGTTTTTGAAATGAGGTCTTGCGCTGAGGTCCTGGGCTTTCCCAAAGCCGTTGAATACGCCAAAGCAACGCGGCCATGCTGCTTTTTGTAAAGTGACCATAGCGACTCCTACAAATGTGCACTATTTGAGGGGGAAAGATTCGAAGGGGAAAAGTTATGACTTCAATGTCCGTCACTTGACTGTTAGTGCATAATGTTGCCGCCATATGCTTCCGGACCGCGTGGGCTGTAGCCCTGCGGAGAATTCAGCCGGTATGTGTATGAAGAGTTGTAGTGGAGGGCCGATGTATATGATATGTAGGTGGAGGAAACTTATAGTGGCTTTTCCATTCAACCAATACAGCTTTTCCTCACCTTCCAAACAACATCAGGCGAATGCCGGACCAGTACTCTAACAAACATCCACGGACCGTGAATAATAGTTCCTTCCCCTTTCTTGTCTTCTCATCCCTTACATTCTCATCCTTTACACTTACATTTACATGCCCTACAATAACAACATGTCGGGAGAACAGTCGGGCGCTTAGAACTCGTCCGACTGGGGCGGTGTCCCGCAGGTGGGCGATACCTGTTTGGAGAAAAGCCCCACGACGTGAAGGTCCGCGCCGGATCTCACCACTCAGTAGGGGAAGAACACTCACATCTCACTTTAAACCCGCACTGCGCTTACGGGACTACTAGTCTTAGCAACTTATTCTTCCGGAAACACGAGATTATAAATAGATCAAACGCTACGCGGATGACACAACAACTCTGATCCACCGTGGCCTGAAATTGCGTAATTGGAATAGTAACTCGCGCAATAAATAGAGAATGTGAAATCGTACTTCCATAATAATTATGAATATATGATAAAGTTATTTGATTACATTGCCTGTAATAATCATAGTAAATTAAAATTAAAAAAAAAAATTTGAAAATAAAGAAATGTTTAATTTGCCGGTCCGGATGGCCGAGATTGTTAAGGCAAGTAGTGTTGTAGTGACCTCGGGCCGAAGGATCGCGTGTTCGAGTCCCACCTCGAGCATGGCTGAATTTCTGTTCTTCCTTTCATCCTCTATCATCACCATATCATGTCATCTTCAGTTACCGTACCGTTAAATGCAATAGTGGTCGCTAATAACCTAGTTGTTGATGTGACCTTAAATAACAAAAAAGTTTCAGTAATATTTGTGAATGTAGATACTGAAGTCATACTGTTCATTACTTATTTTGGTAACGCGTTTTAAAAATAATGACTCCTGTTATTAGATACTTTTCAAGAATATTTATTTCACTTTTTTAGAATATTTAAAATATTCTGCAATTTAACGATGAACGCAATAATTAATCAGCCTGATCGATAGTATTTAGTGAATTTATTTAAAAGTATATAAACACCGTCATTAATTAGCCATGAATGCAACCCCAAGAATAAAATGTTCTTAATATTGTCATACCATTTTATAGACAATGACAAAATGGCATTTTATACCACAAAAACATATATTATATGAAAATATTTCTGTAATGTACACTTGGTCGTCTTTTTTTCAAGTTATTGGACCAATCCCCGAATGCTGTTCGTGCGGGTGTGTTTTCCTACAATGCGGTGCTGGTGGGACAGTTGACAGCAGTTCTGTTTCCTGAAATGACAATTGTGGACTGGATCTTCATGGTTTTTGGTACAATTTTCAGGTAGGGGTCGTTCATTTAAATAATGTGAGTAATAAGACATTTATCCAGTGACTCAAAACCATCTCCTATGAAATATTTATTTCCGGAAGTAGTTACGATAATTGAGACTTTGACGTATCTACGTGCATGTGTATATTTTTACATACACGCACAAACATGGGTATGTCAACATACCAATGTGAAAGTATGTGTGTGTGTGTCTGGATAACAACAAGTTGCTTGTCATAATTATCGTAAGAATATGAAAAGTAAAATCGAATGGCAACAGTGATTCTACATTTCAAATAGAGAATACAATTACTGAAACATATCGTACCTTTAAAGTTTGTATGCGAAAATGTGAGTATGACTGTTGAGCGAGAAGACTACGATCGTTGTACGAGAAATACCTGAATCGAAAGAGATTTCCCCTTACGTGTACGAAGGTGCTTGAAGCAAACACCGACGAGAACACAGCAATTTTGGAAAGATAAGACGAACGATAACGCAAGTGATTTATTTAACGCTTGTAAATCACACGTGCGTGCAGAAATATGTCATCAACGATAAACAAGCTCGACGCCTACTTACGACACCTTACAAGTACGAGGAGGAGAACTTTGACTCGTAGCACCTAAGAATGGGGAAAGTAAAACTTGGGTTAATGAAACTGTCCTTGGTTCAGCAAGCAGGAAATGTGCACGTGCCCGAGAGGAATAAGAAACGGAAACGTGAAATGCTATTCATTGCCATAGGTATTCAATAATTTTTAATTCAGACTTACTCCTCTTCTTTTTCTCCATTTCATTGCTCTCCATACCATAAATCTATTTTGTTCGTGTTATTCGTTTTCTTTCAGCTTTTAAACTTCGTTTAATATTATCTTTAATAATTAGTGTGGTAAATGAAATTAATAAATTTAAAAGTGGTTGATATGTGATTTTTTCACTTTATTTTTGAGTGTCTTAATATTTGTTTAATGGCAGTAAGTGGCCTAGCGTTATTTTAAACAGTATGTGGACCACGCCTTGGCGTTAGAAAAACTACTTCTCTCAGTAAAACGCTTCCAAGAGACAAGTATTTAATTGCCTACTATTTAAATTTTCAGTTCTCTTACAGCTGATTCACATGGTTACAAGAAAGATCTTGTATGTAAGTTATGTTATTTCAGAATTTAAATTTATTCTAATATTTTCTTATTCAGAAACATTATGTGACTTACATTTGTCTTTTATATATATATATATATAAATATATATATATATATTATATATATATATATAATTTGAAACTAATTTATGTAAGTTTGAAATTTATTGATTATTTACTTTATATTGTAGTATATTATTTTAATTTGTAAAGCTCCCAAACAGGAACAAGGTGTGTGAGGGTGCAGAAACATTTATCAGAACCAGAATATAGAAAGAGATAAATGGAAGAGAAAAAAGGTCCTAAGTTGCAACGTTTCGCAGTCAACAGCGAAAGTTTTGATTACCAGTTAACGCAAGAGAACAGTTCCGTGCTGCACGCCTACCAACTGAAAAGACATATTCTGCGTGGGCACTGTATATAACCTCAATGAAACACCAGAACGAGGTGTCAGAGTTTACTCCTAGAAATAAAAATACCATTGGGATTTGTACAAAGTATTATGGAAATAATACACAAAGTTAAGTTGAATGAGAATAAACGACCATTTAGTTATACGAGTAATATTTCGTTGCCCAGAAAATATTGAGGACAATCCTTGTTACAGTAGCAAATATGCAAAAGGCACAATTATGTTGGTGAGGTTTGTGAAATAAGGAAAAGAAGAGATCGTGGGAAGAAATTAAATGCAAATGACTCACATGCTCAGAGAAGGTAAGAAAGGCTAGAGGAGAAGGTTGCCAATTACTTAAAAACTGTGACTTACCATTATATGGAAAGAGCTATAGAAATACCTAGATATATTATTCTATTGAGATTTTACTTTCACTCATTAGTACGTATTTACAGAGAAAAGAGCAGCAATTTTTTACGGAAGAACTCATTCCATTTTGTATTAAATTACATTCTCTGGTTCGTAGTGTGGTCAGAATCTACATTTTGTGAGTCCTTGACACCAAAAACCAATTGGTTGACGAAAAAACGTTTATGTGATTGTCCGCCCATCCTCCTGACAGGGAGGGGGGGTAGCGGCCAAATAGGTGGTCTCTGATTGCTTGCTTACCAGTAATTTAATATCTATTATGATCATGTCCAGAATATTCATGATATATATTTGCTTCACAAGTTATGAATTCTTAGTTCAAATAATTTTCTTCGTAGGGAAACTAGGAAACTAGCGTAGTGTAGATACTCTGGTGGATGATTACTTTTTTTATCTGATGAATGCAAGTTCATCAGGAAAAAAATTTCAAACATAATAAATGGTTCATACACCCTCGGATATAGTTTACACGAAAAAAGTTTTGACAGTAGCATTTGTTTAAAGTGTTGTATTTCATTACGAAATCATATTTAATTTTCGTCGATATGACGAATCAAGTTGAAATGATTCATGCGATACTGGAAAGATAGTTTAGAGACTCACATCGTTTCAACATGGTAGATATATTAAAAGTCAATTCCAATAGTTTTTTTCTACAATTATTGCAGGATAATTTAGAAGGATTCAACTAAGAGTAAAATTAATCTATTCGCATTGTCGAGAGGAATAAAATAGGCTATTCTTCTCTGTAGGTACCGAAAAATTGAAAACAAAATATTGTAAAATTGGAAAGCATTTTATGTGCAACTCATCTCCAAGCGTTTCTTCAAAAATTCTCTAAGAATTTTCTGGATTAATAAAAAACAACCAAAAAATCAAAAAGAAACGGATGAAGACGGTGCCTCGCTGGCAGATACTTGGAGCGGGAAAACCCTTCAAGACTATTTATTGGTCGGCGGAGAATCTTACGATTTAGCGGGGAAGGAATACCGGCACATTCTGAGATATAAAATTCACTCCACTTTTGATAGAAATGAATTAGAAGTTGACGCTCTCGAAAAACAGTAAACACGCCCTCACATTATATTATTGATTGTTTGTGAATTTTCGTATGGCTGAAACTTGTCGCACCCACTGAACCGCTTAATAAAGCATCGAAAGGCACCAATTGTTTGCTGTGGCATCGGTGGCTCAGAGCATCATTTTATGTCAGCGGACCTCCTCTGACCGAGACGTCTTAGGGTTTGAGTCTCGACAGTGGCTGGAATTTCGACGCGCTGAATTGCTAGGTCTAATTCTGCCGCTGCCTTGAGGAGAATTCTAGCAACCGGCTGTTCGGATCGGTAGTTTTGCGTTGTTGCGATCAACACAAGCGAATGCCAGAGCAGTGCCATTACAAACGGGCCGTGGACCTCGCGCGATTTATTATTCCTCTTCCGTGTACTCTCCTCACCCCTTACTTGCCCACTCTTACACTTATAAAAACCACACTACCACACATTCCGGGAGCCCATTTCAGGATCAGCTGAGAGCTTGTACCAGCTGGGGCAGTGCCCCACAGGTGGGGGATTCCTGGTTGGGGAATCCTGTAAGACGACAGGTAGGTCTGCTTCGAACTCGCCATCCAGCGGCAGCGCCATCACCGCCACGTCCTGAATAAAATCATACACTACTGTTATCGGCCTAATGACCTTAGCAGTAGCCGCGCCCGGAATCACAAATCAATCGATCAAAATCAATCAATCAAAGTCAATCAATAGATACCGTCATCATGCATAATAGCTTCGTAGAAGCGCCAGAGTTCTCTTACAGCCAGGTCTTCTCATAAACACGTTGCAATCTCTTTTTAATACCTAGCTAGCTAGATAACTGTTGTGCAATCTGAGACACATTGAAGACGTTGAACTAGTTTAAAAAAAAGGACATTGTCCCCGCGAAGAGCAGCCAACCAATTGTTGGATGTGTTGGCAGCGTGTACTTCACGTCGTCGTTCGCGGCGCTCTTCGGCAGCATCTCCAAGCACCCGATGCCGGCGCTGACGGCGCCCTTCGTGGCGGCGCAGGTGCTCGTCTGCCTCAGCGCCGCCTCCCCGGGCGCGCTCTATTTGAAGACGCCCCTCCCCAACCACATCCCAGGTAGCCATTGCACACAATTGGAGGGATTATTCAAGTATTAAATAATTAAAGCCAACTTTGATTTATTGAGAGAGCCGGCTTCAAAAGACTTTGCCGCCATCATTCCATCCCATTTTATTCCATCCTACTTCATTTCATTCCATGTCGTTTCAATTTATTTCCCATATTGTCATCCTATTTCATTTCATCTTCTTTACCAAAAGATGATGCTGCCGGCTCTGTTTAATCTGAACTCCCGGGGAAACACAAAACAACCATTTTTCTCTTTACAACTGTAATGTTTCGTTTTCATACCATAGAAAATATTTCGTTTGGGAAAAAAATAGAATTTGAACAAGTTGTCGTAAATTCAGCAACACGTACTGATTTTAGGACAATCTAGAATATATTTTATCTAAATCTACAAAGTACTGGCGTCTTTTCTTGAAAATTCATCTTAGAAAATCCGAATTAAGCAGAGTATTTTTTATACATTTGTTGAAAAAATGTATGGGAAATAAACGTTTTTTTCAATTTCTAATAATTTGAATTATTCAATGTATAATTAGCTAGACCACATAGTAGTAATTGGATTACGATTGGGTTAATTAAATTGTTAAATGCCATAATAAAATACCCAGAAAATAATTATCTATAATGATTTGTATACGATGACTTGCATTTAAACTCACAATAACTTAGTTACTATTTTCTTAAGCCGTATCAAATTGAAACTTTCTGTTAAAAAAAATTGGTTTACATTGTGTTGAACATGCAATATTCAATAACATTTTTCCATTACAGGTTCAGCACTCTCCAATAATTCTCTACTAGGAGGAGATTCGTCGACGAATACTAGCGTCCAACAAGCCCTTGTGGCTGCCACCGACCTTGCCTTCGCCACCAATGACTTGCCCGCTTCTATAGTGTTCAACAGCGGAGAGGGTATCGTGGCAATGAATGCCTCAATGAATTCTATTCCAAATCCAACCACGGTCAACATTGAAACTTTGGACTGGGGTGAAGTAAGTAGCTGCTGGTTGTTACGACGAATCATAAGCAGTGCATAAATTTCAATGAGTAATCGAAAATACTTTTACATTTTTTTAAAAATTTGAAACAATATTAAATATTATTCCTGAAAAAGTACTACAAATTTTGTATCTGAATCAAATACAAATTTATCTTAAATTTTGTTCGCTATTCAATTCTTAACAAATATTTCCGCCATATATAATAGGCGAAGAGAAGATATTTGTTTTCTGCCATGTATTACACGTCTACGACAAAATACCTGAAACCTGCTGCTAGAGGATGGGAAATTACCTCCCCCAAGTCATACATCAAACAGTTTATAAACGAAAAGTAGAATTTTCTTATTTTACTGATGGAGGAAAAACAGAAGCCGCATGCCTCCCTCAGCGCTTTGTACCCAGTAATTCACGCTGCCAATAGGAATAACTCGAAAACGATGCATTCTAGAACCTGACAATCAGGTCTTCTTGTCCCTGCCGGGCCAAGATAAACGTTTCTAAATCTGTGAACTACTAAGTGTCCTGTTTTGACATTCTATTACACTTTTGAAGGGCCTCTGTACAGGGTTGTCAGAAACGTTTGAAACCGGGTTACTGTATAAAGATTTTTTTTTTCGATTTACAAACTGTTATGTACAAAATGTTGAATGTTTTCACCGATTCAGATAGTTTTAAATACTATTAACAATGGCGGGAAATGTCTATTCGCAATTCCTTTCATTGACTTCACGACACCTTTCCTTAATAATAGTTTCATGAATCTTCTATTTGATAATCCCGTGTTTTGGAAGCTATTTAAGTTAATAATAATAATTTTATTTTTGACTGGCACTTTATTGCTTGTTCTTGCCTTCGACACGGAGCACGACATTCACTGGATAACTTATCTCGATCAAGTGGATCGTGCTGACGAGGAAATATAAAATAGTCTAATGTTCCTACATGTTATGAGAGGGAATTATGCGAAGGAAATATGAAATGACAAACCAAGTCAAGTTAACATGAAGTTAATTAGTAAATATGTAAATATGAAACATTAAAATTAGGTAAGAAATAAAATTTTGTATGTGCTACGGGAGTTAGCTAGTTTTAATCGTCTGAAGCCAAAGGCTTTTGGACTTTAGGGCCGAGCTCCTTAAAACCGCTATAATGTCCTTGGTATTTAAGTAATCACTTGAGTATAATTGTTGTTTTTATTTTTGCCATTTACAATTAAATCATCGGCTGATTGTGCTATGACTTAGGGTATAAACTGTCGCCACAGCAGTGTTTCTCACTGGAAGTTCCACCTGTTCGACCCCGATGGTAACGGATGTTCGATAGCAGTTACATAGTTAGGTCAAGCTTAGCCCCTGTCTGGAGGAAAATTCTTGCGGTCAGCTTCGCTCATCAAAAGTTTTCCGTGGCCTATCCTATCAATACCAGGAGAAAGCAATGCTCTAACAAAAAGGGCCACAGATCGCACTTCATTGTTTCTTTCTTATTCTTGTCCCAATTTCTCCCCTCCCTCACACAAACTCTTTGTTCACTTTCAAGCACTACGACTACCCATTTCGGAAGACCCGTCGGGAACTTAGGGCTTGTCACGACTGTGCTGGTGCTGGTGGAAATTATTGGGGGAGAAAAAGCATTGCCAGCCGACGTGTTGATTGGCGCTGAATTTAACGTTATTGCAAGCGATAAACACTGCCACCTCAAAGATGCATCATCACGACACTTAATCACCGTATATGCACCCTGAAAACAAAAAAATCAATCAATGAAGCCAATAAAGGCGCATCAAACGCGAGTTTGGTTTGCTTCAGGTCTTCACCGGGGTCCTGAAGTCGATCGGCCAGGCGTACGGGCAGGATCACCTGCCTGGATCCCTTCTCATGTACTTGGGGGTCGTCATCAGCTCCCCTACCACCGCCCTCATGTGCCTCTTCGGCTCCACCGTCAGCACCCTCGTGGGTAAGTGCGAATTCGATGAAACGGCTCCTAATGACTTTGTACGCAGTAATCAGATACGCGGGCATGTGGAACTGTCTAAACACAATATCATTCTGGTTCCGGACTGGCTCACAACCAGACTGTCGAAATGATCGCATTGGATATGTTTATGACTGGGTAATAATCTCATATTAGTAGCGATGTAACATAATGTGTCTGTCGCCGCTAATCCATGTACTCCTGAATCTACGCCAAATGCGAGGGATGTTTTGCTTCGTGCCAATGTACGTAAGTTTACTACTCTACTAACTCCATCTAATTTTCAATCAGAAACTATTACACAATTTTTTTGTCATCCTTCGACTAGTTTCCATACTATATTTTTACGTTGTCTATTGAAAGTTTGCATATGAAGGAAAATTCGGGTTTGCCGTATTTGCATTTACTTAGAATTGAAGAGGTTGGTTTTTCATTTAATTTGTTTCATTTATTTGAGGGAAATATTCTGAGATACAACTTTTAATTTTTCGGTCATATATACCGTTAATTACCCCGTACTTATTTTCTTTGAAAAGTCTAAAAATGATGAAGCGGCGATATTAGTTGTAAAAAGAAGTATAGGATCCGTTCATGTGCTGTCCACATTTTCTTCCGTAGGGAAGAATTTCGAAACATGCAAGTCATCATAATATGCAGGTGCTATTTTTCATATTTAAGAAAAGAAAGGCTAACTTTGAAGGTCGACCTTTCAAAAGTCTTAAATGTTTACGTCTTACGCATTCCCTATCTTAGTTATCCTGATCACAAATCCAGTTTCAGTGTAATTGGACTTAACAAAATTTTATTCGTAGAGAAAGACACTTTACTTTGAGAATTGATGGTTATATTACATATATTGCCAATATAATCAGAGAAGAATTGCCGGACAAACTATCTGCTTCATGACTACTTATGTTAAGTCATCGACATATTATTAGCCACACGTTGCACCATTGAGATAGTCAATTGTGGTCACAGTATACCGAAATGCTTTTGTAATTACAAGCAACCCAGTGAACGTAGCATTACCCTATCTCAGGATTATAGGAAGGCGATTAGAAAGGGAGCTAAGTTCTGAAAATCTGATTATGATTTTAAAATTGTATGAATTAGTGTTCCTAGAGTTAACATTATAGTAGTGTGTCTTGAAACTTAATGAGAGGTTTGTGCAATTGCTCTCCGTAAAGTTGCTGGGCATTGAGTTGTGTGTGGTGCAAGAAATGACAGCAATAACAGCAGCGAAAGTGATTATCGCACAACTTCCACAGAACAGGTACGTAGCATAGGAGCTAGTATTTTAGCCTTTAAAACCCGGTCTCGGTACTCAGATTAATGCTAATTACAAAGAAAAAATAATCTTATATGAATGCAAACACTTATTAAACTGACATTCATCACCTCGCCGTTACGTTATTTTTATAGTTTTTATTTTATTTCTTCTTTTCTTATCTTTCTTCCCCTTTTCCCTCATTCTCTACTCAATCTTCTTTTCTTGATCTTTTTTCGCATGCTACTGTTATTATTATTCTTAGCGCTCCAGCTAATACTGTATTGACTTTAATGCGACGTGCCGTACAATCGAAAGGCAAGCGGATTGCCTACTTAACAACAGAACGACAGCTATTCGTGATATTAGACATAATATTATTATTAGTTTTTTTGTGTTTAGTAAATGAATTATGTTACCTGTTAGCTTTTCATGTGAGGTCACTTCAGTTGATTTAAATATTATCGATCAATCTTTTCAATTTACTCTTTTTAGTTATTGCAGTAGTATTGCTGAAATAAAAAGGTCGTTTGTTTTAACTTTCATTGAACCATTAAAAGAAGAGAAAATATATAATTTAATACCAAAAGTTTTGCACAAACGTAGTTTCGAGAGCGAAGGCTTCCGCCACCGCAGTGACCGGGAGACGGCGTGTCCTAGGCAAAGGTGTCAACGTTTCGGCGGTCATTCTGCTACCTTCCGCAGAGCGAAAATGCTATTTGCGAACTTCTGCAGGGCAAAAAACATAGCCGCCAGTGATGTAAGATGGGCCTGCACTTTGCTGGGAAGATCATCAATGACCTAGACGTTTTGCCAACTCTTCAATAGAGATGAAAATGACTCGACACTAGGTTGGGCGATCAAGGAATTTCTATATGCCCCAGAAGTTCTTTGGTTATTACAGCACTGTGAGCATTAGCGTCGTCTTTAACTCTATAATCAGAATAGCTTAAGAAGTCACCATTCCTCTTCTCTTATTTAAAACTCTACACAGTATATTCGGCTCTTTTTTCGGTGAATTACTATTACACGATTCCATTCTTCCTGAAGAAAGCCGCGAAAAAGCCACTGCCTCTGCAGTTCCTCTGACCGTGAGGTTCTAGGATTCGAGTCCCAGCGGGGGCTTCATTTCGACTCTACCTAAATATCTTGGTCAAATTCAGCCGCTGTCTGGAGGATAATTCTAGCGAACGACTGCTCTGATCAGTAGTTTTCCGAGGTCTCTCCGATCAGTACCAGGCAAAACCCGGGTCAGTACCCTGAAAAATTGGCCATGGACCACACGCTATCTTTCCTTCCGTGTTCCTCCCGTGTTCCTTCCATATCTTTTTTCTTCCATGTCCTGTCCTCTCCCCTTACACATACATACACATGCACTTCTACCACACATGTCGGGATACCAGCCGGAAGCTTGGTCCCATAAGCCGTAATGTAGGTGGGTGCTAGATCTCATCATGCAACGGAGAGGAACACCGCCACTTTCGGCGATAAAAACATTCACTTCAGTAACGGAATAATGTCGGTAGCAGTTGACGTACCCAGAAACATCAATCAATGAACATGTATGTGGGTATAACCACTTCCGTCGCCAGTCATGTGCAGGCCGTCGGCTGTCCGAGAGTCGCCGACTTCTTCAGAGCTGGAGTTCTCAGTACTCCTCGACCACGATATGATAGTCGAAACGTCGGCACGATGCCCTCGGGGCGGCCTCGCCCGGCCAGCCGGGGGCCTGCCCACGCATGGCGTCGCGCCAGCCGCGTGAGCGGAGCGGCTTGTGCCCAGGGGCGGTGCTGTGCCCCGGCCCGGCGGAGAGCCTGTACGCGGGCGTGTGGGGCTACAACGGGCTGCTGACGGCTGCGGCGCTGGGCGGCTTCGCGCTGGTGCTGACGCCGCAGTCGGCGGCGCTGGCGCTCATGGGGGCCCTGCTGACGGCCGTCGTGCACTTCGCGCTGCTCGCCTCCTTCCTCAGGGTACGGCCCCGCCCCCAACCCCCTTGAAGCGCTTCTTCGATAGGGGGACGCCCATAAGCTATGTAACTCAAACTGAGTGTTTAGAATACCCCCGCTCGCCCAGCAGAGCACCTGCAACACGGATTGAACCAATCCTAAGTAATAAAGTAACGCTTACGACAACACCTCACATTTACAATGCGTGAAAAAAAGTATTAAAAAAATAATAATTTGTATTAAATTTATTTGCATTGTATTTGAAAAGTATGATAATTTAAGTTAGTATTAGTTGGTGTGGCTGATTGCTCCCAAAAATAAGATTCAAGTTTTTGAGCGAATGTGGTAAGTACGGGAATATTTCCGTCAAACCTTGTACACGCCGTTGTGAATGATGCATGGGCTGCGCTATGGGACTCTAGAATATACTGTAGATATTTTGAATATTTTCTTGACCAACATCATAAATATTTCTGTTGCAAATAAAATGACTCATTTTTGTATCCCATGTTATAAAGTGGACTGCAATACATTGATCATGTAAGCTTATAAAAAATTCGTAAAAATGTTAAGAAGGTGATCGGAAAACATAAAACAAATACACATGTAAGTTGATAAAGCTAGCATTAAGAACTTATTTGTAATTATACTTGCACTAATGAGCTGGATACTTATCAACCAGCACAGGGCTGTCCAACTCTCGGCCCACTGTGCTAGTTACTGTGGTGCAAGAAAGGTTATTTGTGAAAAGTGAGTCTCCTTCATTCATGTCGGTTTAATGAGAACGTTGCGCGTCTAGCGGACCCTGCCAATGTCATCACTTCCTTGAGTGTAAAATAGCAGAAGTTTTGATTTCTGTATTTTTTCATTTCTAGTAAATTCAGAAATTTAAAATAATCCCAATGTGTTTCTCTATGTTATGCACCGTTCATCATGATATCACGCATGGTTACACCCCCTCCCGTTTCAAAGCAGCCGGGAAAACTGCCGAAGTCAACAATACGGTGTCACGTGTGGATCGTACGAGTAATGAAAGTATGGCCCGCAACCACGTTAAAGGTTTCAGTTGTTGCTCTTAAGCCTTACATGTTGGACACCCGTGAACTAGCGCATAGTCCTTGTAAGATGCATATTAGTGCAAATGGTGCCTGGAAACGAGCGCTGCAGTCCGCCTTTGGGCATGTGCCGTGCGCAGGCGGGGGTGCCGCTGCTGACGCTGCCCTTCAACCTGGCGGCGCTGCTGCTGCTGTGCGCGACGGCGCGGGGCGGCGGGTCCCTGGTGCGCCCGCCCGCGCTCACCTACCCGGAGAAGCACCGCCGCGACTGGGCGGCCGCGCGCCACTCGAAGCGCTCCAGGGTGAGACACGCCCTCTCTCTCTCTCTCTCTCTCTCTCTCTCTCTCTCTCTCTCTCTCTCTCTCTCTTCGAATGTAAAGAAAGTGGTTGCTCTTGGATGATTGATATGTCACATCAGGGCAATAGACGGGCGCAAGAAGGTTACCAAGAGCTTCTCATTCACTTTCTTCTTCTTTTTCTCCTCTTTTCCATTCTTCTCTTAATTCCTATCCTGCTAAAATATTTAATTTCAGAAGACTATAGAAGAAATAAATATGATATAAGCCTACTGGCTTAGAATACACTTTCTTTACAAGAATTAATAAAAATTGCTTCCTAGCATCGCTGTGTGAGAATACCAAACTTCTGGTTCGCTTCTAAGGGAGAAAATATTTGTTTTCGGATCAAAAAATAAACACAAACCTCAGAAGGGAAAAGTAGATATCTACGCAATCTTCATTTTACATCTTGATCAATTTTTTTAAATATGCAATAGTAAGTTCAAAATTGTTCTGTTCTGTAATTTGCATGACCTGACAAAGCCAACACTTGTTAAAAAAGCCGTTATTCAATGTTCGTCTGCCAATGATATGAAGATTCTTACTAATTTTCTTGTTTTGATTAAAAAAACATATTTCTACTGATTCACTTCAGATTGGCTAACTAGATTTGGCTGAACATCACTGAATAGTCAAAAAGATTAAAGGCTAAGAGAATTAAAGAAATAGGCAAACTATAAAAATGAAAACATTTTCTTTTAGACTGCATCGTTGTTAAAAATCTCAAAACTTGATTTTGGGTCCATTGACACGCCCTACTGGAGCAGTATCCTCGTCCGTAGTCCTCGCGCAATTCATCCTTCCTCTCCTTCCCACCCCTTACTATCATCCTTAAGATCGATGGAATGATGAGCTTAGGGTCTATCCTCACATTATCCATCCCTCATTTATTCGAAAATCGTCGACAGGCGTCGGGTGTCGGAGAAGCCGCGACTTGCTGTTTTTCCCCTGAAACATTAAACAAATCTCGAGGTGAAAAACTTGAATAATATAATATAATCATTAACTTTTCTTTTGAATTTAACAATATTCTTCTTTAAACTCGTGTCACAAATTAAGATTAAATTGTTTTTCTAAGTTTGACGATAATTTGAAATATGGGAAAAGAACGATCCGAAGCATATTTAATGACAATATGCTTGTGGATGTTTAAATGGTAGCCAAACAAAACACTGTGAATTAATAGTAGTTAATGAAATTATTTTATAATGTTAAGATGTATTGCTCTTGTACATGTTTTGAAAACGAGCGACGTTAGGAGTGAGATTTCAAATTTGTTCAATGCAATAAAGTAACATAAATATTATAAGGCGGTGACACGTGCCCCCAAATATCGATAATTGCGAAGCTCATATGAAAGATAATTAAAAATAACGTAGATTCGCAAAAAGAAGCCACCTAGGGCAATATGTTGCATAGATACTATGGGGATCTTGTTTTTCATCTTTTGTTTGTCTGGGCTGAAAAAAAAATTTGAGTGGCAAAGAAAAATACTTGAATTTGAAGGGAAGTTTTTTCAACCAATATTAATGCCAAATACAAATAAAAAATAATTTTTTGAAATTCATTTTCAACATGATAACGTTGGAGTACTGTCTCAGTTTTTTTAACAATTGACATTTTTAACATTTTTAAACAATGTTTAAACAATTGATATATAAATTAATAAAAATATTCACTTACCAGCATGATTTACATCGCCTTGCTGACCAATGTTTGTTTCTATGTGGAAAGTTTTTGTATTATCGAAATAAAATTATCAAACCCCTTTTGTTTTAGATTTATGTGTTACTTCTAATATAAATAAAATTACTCAGCTTTAGGTATATTAATCATTCATGTTTATAATATAAATGAAATTACTCAGTAGTATATTCATTAATCATTGACAATTAGACAATCATAGATAGTTAACCATTGTCACTCTCTTCAATAACTGGAATCACGCGTTCGTTTATAAACAGTCTATACAAAATTTATGGCGGTGTTACAATTTTAGCCAAGTAACGAACGTGTGCCAATAATAAATGATCGCAGCTAGAGAGAGCAGCATCCCAGGGTGCCATTTCCGTTTGTACGTTCACAATAATAGCGTTTCACAACTGGTATTCCCATTGTAAAGAGATGGGTGATTTCCTTTGGTGCTCCGATTCTTGATCGTTTAGCGCAGCACCGGTTTGCGTCACATACCACGTTACCACAATATGGGCTATTCGTTTGAAAAGCGAGACCAGACGTTGAACGCCATGTTGTAAGGAGAGTAAGAAACATTCTGAAAGTGAAGTTAAGTGACAATTTTCAACGGTGACCGAGCAAAAATACGATGGAGGTGTAATTGAAATAAAAGATGAAATATTAAAGAAAAGTGCTTATCTGTTTCTGTTTCAATGACTTGTAACTCTGAATATTTTGGCATTTAAAATTCCCGCTAGTATTATGACGCAAACAAGTGGCTGAAGTGAAAGAAGTGGAATGCCCAAGAGACCTCCCACGCCTTTCCTCCATGGATATTCCGATTTAATAGAGTTTATGTGTCGCGACTGAATCTGTGTGAAATATTGGTAAAAACGTTTTTTTCAATCACATTTTGGCGAGAATTTCAAATTTTTAAACTGATAAAATTAATTTTAATTGTTTTTCACTACCGTCTGTTTTGCTATAAGCCTGAAAAAAGATGTTATAAAATGTTATGAGACACATTCTAGAGAAAAAATTGGAACAGTTCTTTAACGTTATCATATCGAAAATCAATTTCAAAAATTTAATTATTTCTTTTCTATTTGAACTTGGCGTCAAACTTAGTTGTTAAAATTACCTTCAAATTCAAGTATTTTTTCCCGTCCCTCCAATTGTTTTCAGCCGTATACATGCAATGGAAGCTGAGAAAAAATAAAAGATGAAAATCACGTTTCTCATTGTATCTCTCCAACATTTTGCCCCAACAGACTAATTTTTTGGGAATCTACGGTATTTTTTATCCTCTTACATAAGAACATAGCGTTTATCGATTTTGTTTGGGGGCACTTTTCACTGCCTTATTCAGCTAAATTCTTTATATGACAATCAAACTAAGTTTTGCGAAACACGTTTCTTCAGACGTCTCCTGTATTTGACACCTGTGCAAGAAAACAGTGGCCGGCTGTTCCGTTTACCTCTACCTCCCCCGATTGGCTGAACGTGTGATGACACAATCATTTGGGTCGTGAAATCTAATACATAATTTGTGCCACAAAATGCCCGATTATGAACGATTTCTTGCAACAGAAAAAGTCGTTTATAATGCCGGAATACAAAAAGTGTTTTTATGTGCTGTTCATAGGTTTATTCACTATCCTGCAGACCAATAAGTCTATTATCTTCCGTTTACTGCCCAATTATATCTCATGAACCTTCAAAGACACAGAGACAGCTCCCGCTTTCACCGCTTCCATCGCCGGTTCAATGAATCCACTACTTGTAAGTTACGACTCATATCAACTGCAATTACGGCTTTAATAGATGTTGCAGTTTAACCGTGATATAAAATGAACTCTGGAAACATTGATTCAGAATAATTAAATCATATCCGTCTGAAAGATACTGAACATCTCTTTTATATGAGAAAGTCTCATTTAAGAAAATCAGAAACGTCAATTTGTCTTAGATTATACCAGTTAATTCACGCACATGGAATTCAAAATATAACTGACTTTTACTGACAAACACTAGATTAAAATTTATACTTGAATCAAAATTAACTGGAACAGTGTTTTATTGGGCATGTAATCGAGACTGGTTTTGGGGAGTCTCTCGATTCGGTAAAAATGTGGTTCATTTTGTAACTATACGTCTTGTTTATATTTATGACTGGTTTGGAGTGGCAACGAGTAGATTCTTCGACAAAAATAGAGATATTATAATTTTAGTTTAGTGGGATTCTTTTTATTGCTGGTACTTGCCTTATTAATGCACCAAGTCCTTAAATCAAGAATGTAATAGAATAAAGTATGGTTCTAGTATACAATGTTTACCTGGAGTAGTGTATCGCAATAATGTATACTAATTATTTTGAACTAATTATTACCATTTGAGAAAAGAAAGAAAACAATAAAAACGTTATGTTCGTTTTTTTTTATTTCAGAACTTAAGTTCTCCATCCGACTTGAGTTCTCCAGATGACGAAGTTGATAAGAAGGAGCAGTTCAGGAAGCTGGAAATAATATGAAGTTTTCAGCATTCATGAAGAGGCTTTCTCTATAGATGTTTTCCGAGGTGTCCTTTTGTGTTCGTCTTGGGCAGCTCTCTATAAAACTGCTGAGTAGAAGTAATAAGCATGTGTGCCTTTGTATGTATCATGTGTATTTGCTCTCGTGTCTGTAAAAACGGACCTTTCTGAAAGAATCATTGTACTTTCTCGATTATACGTTGTACTTTTTTCATAATATTAACTACCCTGAAATAAACATTTCAAAACTATTAATAAATACTTATTTATGATAATTTTCTTTGCAAATTAATGTTAATTTTTGTTAATAGTAGTTTTTGAATCTATTTATGTTGAGTACATTAATATTTTTAGATAAATCATTTATAGACCAAGCACTTATGTTAAACGCAAATTAACATACCTACAATCACTGAACACACCTAAAGAATTAGCGGAACCAAAGCGAGAACGCTGTCAATACGATCTTGTGACTCGATACAGAGGAAACTTAATAAGAAAGTTGAAATACGTTTAGAAATAAACAGGAAAAGTAGAACATTGTAATATAACTAATTGGGAAAATTTATTCATTACTATCTAGTAAAAATTGGGATAAGAAATATCAAAATTTCTTTAAAAATATTTTTTTTCATTCATTTCAAGAAAATTCTTGGTATCCAACAATTAAATCCTGAAGCAACGCAAATCCTTAGCTTTTATTACACCTACATTATTTGGTTCCCCCCTTCTTTATTATGACCGTAAAGTTAGCATACCCACTTATCACAAAATTGAAAAACAGTATCCCAGGTAATTTCAGTTGTGATTCTTTCCTCTTTTTCGAGATGTGAGGTTACCAGGTTAAGTGACTGTCTAGATGTAAACCAAGATACCTCACAACAGTTGTTACTGAGAGTTCTGACGTGTTTAATTTCACATTGGGACACTGTTCTTTTGGAACTGAGAAGGTTATATGTTGTGATTTTGCTTGTTTATATTTACTCTCCATTGATTTGTCCATTCTTCTATCTTGTCCAGATGCGGTTGCAGGTGTTGCGATGCTCGAGTTGAGTCCTCGACGGCAGCTAAAATAGCTGTGTCATCAGCGAATGTGGCTATCATTGAGCGTTCTGTTGTTGGTAGGTCAGAAGTATTGATTACGTATATAATTGGTGCTAGGATACTTCCTTGAGGGACACCTGCAGTCAGTGGCTTAAATACAGACAAAAAATTGATATTTAATTTGAAAAAAGCGGCTAGATCGGTACGTTTTAAAAAAATATATAGAAAGAGTGCGGGAGTAATTGTTTGATTTTGAATAGCAGATCTGGCATGCCACACCCTATCAAATGCTTGCTGTACGTCCAAGAAAGCAGCAGAGCAATATTTCTTTTCTTCTAGCCTTTGAATATCGTGTTTACTATTCGGTGTGTCTGATCTATAGTAAGAGTGATCTTCACGAAACCCATATTGAACGTCTGGTATCATATTATGGTTATTGGTTAAGCCGTTTCGTAAAAGTAGTTTTTTATACCTTAGATAAAACTGAGAAGGCTTATTGTCTGTATGATGCAACGTCTGTAGCGGTTTTCCAGGTTTCGCCTATGGCTGTACTTGTGCATACTCTCAGAGAGTCGGATAGTGGCTCTCGCTTATAATAGCATTAAAGATGGATGTGACGAATGATAGTGCTTCCTTGGATAATTCTTGTAATATTGTACCGGTTATAAGATCATGTCCTGGACTTTTAGTAAGATTTATGTGCTTTTTAATGGTTTCTTCTATTTCACATAAATTGAACGTCTTGTGGGTGCCGGCTGTTGGAGGGAAGCCTGCAAACTTTCTATTACCTCATTTTCCGAAATACTTCGTTTAGCTATTGGTTTTAATACTGTAGAAAAGTGTGTAGCAAGGCATTCGGTCTTTTCTTCAGAACTTCGTGCCCATGTGCCATCTTGTCTTCTAATAGGCGAGATGTGTTGTTGTGGCCGATTCCTTTTTTTTTGTGACTTTCCACAGTGAGTAATTAGTAATAGCTGTTGGTGACAAGAAATTTACGTAATTGGAAAATGTGGTGTTTTGGTACTCTTTTAGTTATCTTTTTAGTTGCTGGGCTGATGCGCTAAGTTTCTTTTTGTCTTTAGGCTGTCTGGTGTACATATAGATGCTACGAAGTCGGCGATTTTCAGCTATTTTTTGTCTAATTTCTTTGGGATACGGTAAGATCTTAATTACATCAGATTTTGGTGTTGCTTTCAAGGCAACGTTACTTCTGTTAGGTGTAAAACTGCGGTGTCTATATCATTGCTTGATTTTAGAGGCATATTTACGCTTAACGAGTTGTTAACGTATATTCGAAATTTATCCCAGTTAGTAAACTTACTTCGAAGTTTAGGTGGTGATCTGCGCTCAATAACGGACGAACAGATGGTCATTTCTACTGGCGTGCTATCGGAACTGAGGTAAGCTCATGATGTTTGACCGTTTTACGAATGATAACGGCCGTTCCGCCGTGCGCAGTTCTGTCTGGATGTTCAGTAGTGTAGATTTCGTATCCCGAAATTTGAAGATAGCTTTTATCTGTGAAGTGTGTTTCAGATATCAACATGATATTTATGGCTTGTCCGGTGAGAATTGCTCTCGGCGATGCTGGAGTATACCATTAGCGTTCCAGAGAAGAAGTTTTATTCTTCCCGCCATTTAACACATTTTGAATATCAGTGTAGTGATTAAATTAAGGAGGGTATTTATTTGCACGGATTGTTATTTCAAAATGTTTTCGAATCTCTGAAAGGCTTTATCAAGGACTTGACTGAGGTCCTCTTGGTCTTTTGTAGTTACATGAGTAGAATAATTTCTTGTATTCCATACTGGCTTGGGATTTGAATAATAGATTACATTATCACGAGGTTGCTCGTGTTTTCTTACGGATTGTGGGTTGGAATTGGAAGTGTTATTTTGGAGGGAGTGAATGAGTAATGGAGAGAAGTCTGAGGCATTTGGAACTATTTGCTTCTCTTTAGGATTTGAAACTGTATTTTTGAATGTTGATTTTTTATATTGAATTCTACTTTTCATATATTTCTGGTATTCTGGGCATCCTTTGTAATTGACAGGGTGATTATCAGAACATAAAGGGCATATGGCTGGTACATTTCTATGATTCCAAGCGTCTACTGTGCGTGGCATTAGTTTTATTTCATTACTTTACATTTTATGTGTAAAGTCTTCTTGTTTTACTTTTTGCTTGAGAATGTCAATCAATTTCGGGACATTTGTAACTTCCCTCGCCGTTTCATTTTGAGTTTGATTTTCATTCGTTAGAGGGGTGAATTTATTTTGTAGAGGAATCACATTTTCTGTCATTGTCGGTAGGTTAGTATTTGACTGACTGCCATCACTTCGTCGTCTTCGTCTCCGTCAGTACTTGCTTCTCCGTGGTTATCAGTTGTTGACATTTCGTGGTCACCTTTATCATTTTCTTGAAGCCACGACTGTTGCTGTGTTTGTGGAGGGTGCCATGGAGGCTGCTGCCCTGGCGTACTTACGACTAAAATGTTGTCGGGTGTTAATGAAGATGCCGTGCACCTATTCTGCGATAGTTGAGACCAGGGGTGTGCCTGCATTTGTTGATGGGGTTGCCATTGAAGCTGCTATTCTGGCGTAGGCTGCGGTGGATCGGTTGACTGCATTGTAACGGATGTTATTCCGTTGTAAGTTAATATTGCTTCACGGATGCTCTGGCCGAGGCCAGCAGTTTCATTTTGTGTTTCACTAATTGTTAAATATTTATATTACACTATATACGTTTACATACACTTCACTGTTTAGTTTTACTTGTATCCGAGTAGAACTTAAGTTAAGGTACACACAATAACCTCGGTGTTATCACAGCGCACACTTTATCGCGAGGAGAGACTCTGTCGGAGGTCTTGCCCCGACGGGAGCTGACCTCGAACTATATCTCTTAAATGAGGCGATTTTGATAAACTCCTCTTGAGGGCACAGTTTATGACCGAATGTGAGCGTAAGCGGTCGTGTTGGTCGTTTTGGGGTTTCCTGGCAGGCGGCGGTTGTTGATAGGGACGGTTTGCCAGCTGTTGTCATCTCGTCGCCTTTGTTACGAGGGATGGGGACTGGGCCCGCGTTGGCTGCCGGAGCACCAGGGCACGGCTCTCCGCCGCGTGCGGGGGCGCGGCCAGCGACCTGGAGGTGGGAGAGAGTTCGCCACCCTAGCCGCGACATCCTGGGATCCTGGGCGCATTCTGGGGTGAAGGGGGCGGCGGTTGCAGCAGCGGTGGCGGCAGCTGTGGCAGCGGCGGCGGCGGCGACGGCTGAGGCGGGACCTGGAAAGGCCGGCATGGGAAAGGGAATGGCAAGGGGCGAGTCTTGCCCCCAACGCCCCCAAGTCTTTCTGTGAACTGCATGGGTGGCATTTAGCGCGCGGGCGGCCTTCGCATCGGAAAATCGTTCAACACAGAATGTCAGCTGCGAGAAATTGTAAGAAAAAACGATGGATCCATTTTTTGGGAAATTTTGAAAATGTACCAAGGGCTTGATGTAAATTACTTCCTGAAATCAAAACACCGGTTTCAAATTCAAGAGGCCGAGACATAAGCTAGATGGATTGGGGAATATGAATTTTGGAGAAAATTGGCTGAAGTGTTTAACCGCAAGCATTGTTCACAGACAGACGGACAGACATACGATTTGCTGTCAATTGATTTTTCGCTATTAAGGACCCACAAATCATGGATTCTGACTACACAACGTGTTAAGAGGATTTCCTCTCCCCCTAAATTTAGCAACTAGATTTCTCAAATTTTTGGTTACCAGGGTCCTGTAATAAAAGATTTTTGCCGAAAATTTGACATTTTTTCGCATAGCATAACATACTCTCTACTGCGTAAGTGGAAACGAGAAATGAACTAGTGTTGCCAACGAATGGCACAGAATTTCCCATATTAGTTTTATATTTCCTTTGTTAACGGCTAGCTACTCGGACTTACCACTTAATCTTTCCAGCTGTCATGCTTATTTTTCAAAAAAACAAAAGAATAGACTAATATGCCGTTTATGTCGTCTGATAGAGTATATTTATCACTCTCCCTACGAAAAGTTTAAAGAAAAAAATTTGAGCCGGTTATTAAAAACTAAGGCAGTTCAACGAACATGAGACTTGTGACAACGAACACGATCTTAAGCGTTTTTTATGCTACCTAGGTCCAAATTGAATAAAAACATTTTGTGCAGTTTTTAAGAAACAA